GGATGGACGTCCATTCGTGGAGGGGGCTCCCGTAGCAGACAGGTACCCTAAGAGTGCGTGCACAGGGCAGTGTTGGGTTGGGCCTGAGAGGTGCAGCATGCACATGGTGGGGCTCATAAAATTGGCGACTCTTGCCCAAACTTCACCTTCTAGAAGAGTTCTTTTAACATCCGTTGTTAAGTGTCCACGCTGTGCCAGACTCTGTGCTGAGGGCTGGGACGCAGTGGTGGAGCTGGAGGTCTTCCGACCGCCCGGCTGTCCCCAGGGTGACCTATGTGGACCCCGTCACCCAGGCTCCCCCCCCCTCTGGTGAGTGGGGAGCCCAGGGAGACTGGCCTGAAGGAGGATAGTGAGGTCGGGGGCGCATTTCCACAGCTCCTTCCCTTTCGAGCTCCCCTCACTTTTGCAGAGTTCCTTTCAGGCCATCCCTATCCACGTGTCCCCTTTCCTGCTGCCACCTTGACTAATAACGTCATGGGTACAGAGTGGCTCGGAAACAGCTCCTCCCATGATCAGATTCTGGATTACCCACATATGCACCGAGTGTGCAGGTCACCTCCTGGCTGGTGGGAAATGGGTCGTGGGTCCCCCACAGCACGCAGCAGTGTTACTCAGATTGTCACTGGTGATGCAACGGATGAGGAGATCCTCAGCTGTGACTCTCAGTTACTGTGATGACCGGCGGTTATATGAACTGCATGGCCACCTGGCTGCTTCTTGCGGCCCTAGACAGCATACACAGGGGAAAAGAGGAATGAAAAAGTGTGAACATACGAATGAGAACAAACGTGGAGCCTTGGCAGCTTGAAGGAGTCGCTCATCTCGGCTGCTCCCCGGGCAGATGAGCTGAGGACCAAGAGTGGGGTCTGAGCGTAAGGGGGGCAAAGCTGAGGTGCCAATTAAATGCTCAACCCCATCAGATCTCTTCAAGGAGAGGGTGCCAGTGGGAAGGAGTGGAAGTGGAGATGCACAGTGGAGACGTGGGCAGAAATGGGGGAGAAGCTGAACTTTCGGAGTTGCAAATTCCCTGCAACTCCCGCATTCCACAAGGCAGAGCCCCTCTTCCCCCTCCTTCCTCCTTCCCCTCCTCCCTCTTGCCCTCCTCCTCTTTCTCCTCCTGTCCTCCCCCCTGCCCTCCCCGGAGGAAACCAAACTTTCTCTGTTGAAAAGCCTTTCAACACCTGTTCCAGGGGAAGTTGCCACACAATCTGATGCCAGTTCTTCTCGGGACCCACCCACCACCTCTCATTGCTCCAGCCCCGGTAACCAGTTGAGACCTACAGAGCCCAGGTGACAAGGCATCAGAGTTCTCTGGGGGAGATGGCACACACAGGGAGGGAACCCCAGCTCCGCTCCAGCCTGCACCAGCAGGGGCCTGGGACAAGCATGGGAGTAGAACCTAAGAGTACTGGACCAAATGGGATGGAATAACTCTTGATGAGGCTGAAATCTTTGACACAGATGCCCTCACCCGGGATTTACTTGTTGGCTCAAGCCCTGAGAGTGTGGTTAATAATCTTCCAGGTTGACTAATTGAAGCCTGAACAAGGATGGTTTGGAATTAATGAGGTCAAAACTGCTTGAAATCTCTGGCCTGCTGTACAGGATGGAGGTCAAAGGCTCAGGGAAATAGAACTGGAGAAATGGATCAATTGTTTGCAGCTGACTCAGGCACTCCCTAATCATAGGCAATCCCTCTCTCCTGAGGGGGCCCGGAGGGCCCTGACAATTGCACGGGTGAGTTGGTCAACAGCTCTCGGGGCTGTCCTCCGCAGGCTGGAGGTCACGCTGGGGAGCACAGCACAGACACCAAATTCCCCATCTCAGCAGGAATGATGGGAGCCCAGAGTGGGGTGGGAGCAGCCATCAGCCACCAGGGCCAGGGGCAGCCTGAGGCCTCAGGAAGGCACACAGAATGCCCAGCAGTAGTATCTGGACCCACCGGCATCTGTGTTGCTGGCTCCTTGCTCATGGGGTCCCTGGACTTGAAAGAGATGCCTGCTAAGGGCTGCTCGACATTTGTAGGTATGAAAATCCCAGGTCTGCTAAGAGAAACTACCTCGTGGCTGCTCCCCAGTCCCCAGACCTAAGCCACTTCCCACCCCAGTGCACACCTTTCTGGACAATTCCTTTATTAAGTACTCCCTTGAATGACCCAAGTTGAAGAATGCCGCCTGTTTCCTGCTGGGATCCCCATCTGAGAGGGCAATGCCTTCACGGGCCTTTCATGTCGCTGGGTGTGATGGTCATTACGGACGCAATTATCAAAATCAATACATCAGGGGGTTCTCCTCCCCAGAGACGGGTGGGACAAGGAAAAGTCACCCAGAGAGAATCCAGTTACAACAGAAACCAAAGTTCAAAGGAAATAGTGAGAAATAGGGTTTGATTTAGACTCTGTCTTGATAAATTAAACTGAAAATTATGGACATGGGTTAGTTTTACCTTGGATTTACCAAAAGGTAAATTTATGCAAAATTGCAGCTTTGCTCAAACTCTTAGAATAAATAAATAACAAATCAGTGTTAATGGTGGCAGTGGAGTGCTTATAAATTTGTCTGACAACCTTTTATGAGTGCACAATACAGCATCTTTGGCTTCACATTTGACTTACACGGTGCCTGCATCAAGAGGGTCATTTTTACAAAAATGCTTATGGCCTTTAAGTTTCCCGAGAGCTCTTCACAATCTTTTGAATTAAACTACCATGTTTTGAAGGCCTTGTTTTGTCTCCTCTGTTGGCTTGCTCATACCCTATTGTTATTTTGTCTAACTTTTCCAGAACCTCTTTGTCAGTAGCTTAGTGTATGATCTGAGCAACCCTCCAAGATGACTTTAATCAATTCCATGAAATGCTACACATTTTGGAAGATTCAGAGTTTCACTCTGCCATCTGTTGGTATTTTGCTTGTATCGTATTGTGGGATCAGAAAAACTGATTGCCAAAAGTGTGGGCGTGGTGGTCAGGGGCAGAAAGAGGCTGGCGCTGAACGGGAATGGCGGTTGAGCGAGGATGCCTTCTTTAAATGGTCGGCTCATTGGCGATATGTTCGAGGAAGTCTGACCACTTTTCCTTCACTACCAACTTCTTCACAGGGGGAAATCCACACCTGGAGAGCGTCCTTGCTCTAACCCCAGCGCCAAGCACATTGGCACATAGTTGGTTTTCGGGAACATTCATTGAATGAATGAATGAATGAAATGCAAATTATGGCAAATGGCATAAAGAAAAGCAAAAGAATGCTAGGAGATAGAAGACCAAGGAGGGGCCTAAAACAGCCTACGTCAGGGAAGACCCTCTTGAGGAGGTGAAACGGTGGGTGATGTGAGATAATAGAAAACACATGTAGGTTGATCTCTGCCCCCCGGTTCCTGGCACAGAGCTCCTGAAACCCTCGTAATTTCCTAAGTGTTGTGAGCACAGGAGCATCTTTTGTTTTAATATTTGGTCTTTGACCCCGTCCCTGGCACAGGGCTCCTAAAACCCTTGTAATTTCCTGGGTGACAGGAGTGTCTTTTGTTCTAATGAGGTGACTTTGGGTGGGCTCCTGAATGGCTCCTGGATGAGGGCTGGTGACCAGAAAGAACAAGCCACGATTAGAAGCTTGGAACTTTCAGTCCCACGCCCCATTCTCCGGACAGGGCAGAGGACCTGGAAATGGAGTTAATGATCGATCACGCCTCGTGATGAGGCCTCCATGAAAATCCCAGTAGGATGGAGTTCAGAATTCTAGGCTGGCAACATATCCGTGTACCGGGAGGTGACACACCCCAGCTCCACGAGGACAGAAGCTCCCGCACTCGGGACCCTCCCAGACACATGCTGTGTCTCTTCATTTGCTGCTCACCTGTACTCTTATATGACAATATCCCTTAATAAACTAGTTAGTGTTTCCCGAGTTCTGTGAACTCTTCTAGCAAATAATTGCATCCAAGGGAGAGGAGGGAACCTCCGATTTGTAGCCAAGTTGACAGACGTCGTAGGGAACCTGGGCCCTGACCATTCTTGATTGGCATCTGAAGTGGACTGAGCCCTTAACCTGTGGGATCTGGCGCTTGGTAGATAGTGTCAGAATCGAGATAAATCGTAGGACACCCAGCTGGTGTCACAGACTTGCTTGGTGTGGGGGAAAAAAAGCCCACATATCTGTGTCAGCAGTGTTGCGAGTGTGGCAGTAGCGTGAGGGTGAACGAGAAATACAGGAGGTAGACCGAGTTTTTCCTAACTCGGGAGGCTAGGTGAAAAGGGGGCGCGGGGGAGGTAGAGGGATCAGGGTTGGGCAGACCAACTGTGAAGGACATTTTTGGGCGAATCGACGACTCTTGCTGAGCGACCCTGGGGACAGAGGAGGATGGGTGAGCAGAGCTGGCAGGAGAGGAGGCAGGGGCTCCTCCCGGAGTTTGTGACTTTACAACAGCAGGGCCTGCAGTGGTGCCGGGGAGATGGGGGAGGAGCCAGGACGGGCCCCTACTCAAGAAACGTGAATGTGGCCTCGGCATTGGCCTCCCCTCTAGGAGACCTGAAGAGTGTACACAACAGGCTGAAACCACACCTGTGGGCCGCTGCCCCTCGGCCATCGGCAGGGACCCTTCGGGGAGCCAAAATCCACAGTGAATGCTGAAGACATGGACGGGGCGGGAGCGGCCCCTCCAATGGCAGCTGACGGTTTCTCACCCCAGCTCGAGGCGTATCTACTGTGTGGTGTTTAATGAGAACTGCACACAGGAATTCTTATATTCTAGGTGTTTTTCTAACTCCTTTGAGGGAAATCTGAGAGGAGCTTTAGGATACAATTACTCCACTAGCTCAGCCTGAAATCCACTTCCATTAACCATCTTCTGTAGGGTTACAGCTGTGTGACACTTTTCTTTATCCTAGTTTTCTCCTCGAATAGGGGAAGACTGCTAAAACACACACACACACACACACACACACACACCACTAAAAACCATGTCAAAATAACCCGGTAACTTTCAGTTGAAGGAACTCGAAGCAGAAGTTGTCTCATAAACTAAAGATAAGGAGGAAATTTATTTGCAATTGTAAACCATTTTAACAAACAACTAAGTAAAAAAAGATGAATAACTGATTACTGTGAATGAATTAAGTAACGTCCGCATAACGGAGCATTTGCACAATACAATCTCCTAAGCGTTGGGCTGCACCCTCATTCTGGTGGATCTAATTGTCTAGTTTCTTCTTCTTCAAAACTAGCATTTCCTGGGAAGAAAAGAGAAACAGAATATACTCCATATTAACATTTTTCTATTTTAAGATTCTTTATTTGCTAACAGATCTTTTTGTAATAAATAATATTATAAATATTAAGCATTTATCAGGCAAAAAATGGAAGGTTAATTTTTTTTTTCTTTTTTTGAGGTGGATTAGCCCTGAGCTAAGATCTGCCAACAGTCCTCCTCTTTTTGCTGAGGAAGACTGGCCCTGAGCTAACATCAGTGCCCATCTTCCTCTACTTTATATGTGGGATGCCGCCACAGCATGGCTTGACAAGCGGTGTGTAGGTCCGCACCCGGGATCTGAACCAGAAAACCCAGGCCGCCAAAGTGGAGCACGTAAACTTAACCACTGAGCCACCAGGCTGGCCTCTGGAAGGTTAAATTTTATGCATACTTTTATAGTTTTTCTTTTGGTACTAGTAATAAACTAGGCAAAAGATATTTTCAATGTAAATGTTAAGACTATTCATGTAAGTGAGAGCATGTTCAATAATTCTCTCTTACCTGTATATACCGTCCAAATGCAACCAGCTTTATGAATGAAATATGTCACTTTTTGGCCCTTGTATTAATAAAAAGAAAAGCAGGACTTCGCTACATTCTCATAAGATGCTATTTTAAATTCATGAAATTTAGAATTCTTCTTTGTTGCTGAGTGGGCTCTGTAACTCTCACTGCTAGCTATGTTAAAGAAGAAACTTGCTCACATCCCTGTTCCAGGACCTGCAGAGGCGGAAGCTTCTAGATTAATGGTACATTCAAACCCACTTAAACAGAGCTGGTTCCCAGCACCACTGGCCTCTGCTCACACTGCTGTGACTCAGCCACTGTAAAAATCGTGCAGTTAAATAGAGCCATGTTATAAACTGCTGACAGGACCCTGCGGCCTGCTCTCTTGGCGAAAATGGAGATTGGCAACTGATGGAGAAGAGGACACGCAGGGCACCCAGCAGTCACACGTTTGCAGGAGGACCCAGGAAGAAGCAGCCTTCTTATGGGTGTCACATGAGTTCTTAGCGGGTCCTCAGAGACCGTCTCCCAGTCCCTCAGGCCCGGCCCAAGGACAGCCTTGGCCCAAGGTGGACAACCCTCCAGCTCGGCCCTGTGTGTGCGCGGCCCTCGCTTCCCTCCCACCCTCCTCGCTCCCCCAGAGCGGCTCACCCTGGTCTAGGTTGTCATATTGGAACTCCTCCCCGCCGTCCTCATGGCCCTCCTCTGTGGCAGCGTCTCCGTCTTCCTCTCCGGGCCTCAATGAGTCGGTCTCTTCCTCTGAAATGTCCGTCAGAGCCTGGGCCTCCTCGGCAGGCTCTCCGGCGCCTGAAGCAAAAGAAACAGGAATGGGGCGGCGCTCCCTCCCCCGAGGCACCCTCCCTCCTGCTGAGAGCAGGCCCGGCTTCTCCCTCAGGGGACAGCCCCTCCCCACCTGAAGTTCCACCGGCCTGGCACACAGAGCATCCCATCCCAGTTGCAGTGACTGGTTCAGGGATGGGCACCATTGGTTTGATAACTCTAATTCCCAAGAGTTTCGATGACCATATTGAGAAAGAGAAGCTCTCTGTTCTCCAGGGTTCTTGAGCTGATTCGGTGACAATTTGATAAAGTCAATGAGCATTCGCCTCCAAAGGGAAGACAGCAGAGCCAATGCCCACAAGAGCAGAGGCCTGATCCAGCCATGCCTGAGGCTGTCACTACGCCTGACTCTCCAGTTGTATGAACCAATCAATTAGTATTAGTATTATTTCACTTAGGCCAGTTTGAGCTGTCTTTCAATTACTCACAACAGAAGGACTCCCACCCAGAATAACCCACATTCCAGGGCACCTTCCCTACATCTCAGAAAGACTGCTGTGAGCCATGGAGAAGTGCTGCCTGGCTCCTCTTCAGAAAGGACTTGTCACTGCAGGTGCTGTCAGCCACCTTGCCCAGGTCACCTGCAGCCCGTCACTGACCAAGGTGAGGGGGTAAAGACCCGTTGATATCGGCTCAACACAAGGTTGACATAAGGGAAGCCATATTGTAGAAACGAAACCATATTGTAACTTTGAATGACCTCTGATTAACTAGCCCAGACAAGCTCTGTAGATTTTAGGGCCCCTCCCAGCTGCTATAAGTTGATAACTTTGCTTCTGAGTTCCTTAGGAATGTGGTGACCCCCAAGCAGAGAGTCTGTGCTGACAGCCATCATCAACGACAACTGAAAGATCAGGATATAGGGCATTGCTCCAGTCTCTGATGCACATCCAGTAAACAAAGGACTATCAGGAACTGGGACCAGAGGTCTGCCCCACCTGGAGATCAGATGGAGGCCATACTGGAGATTAGGTCTATTTTTCAAGGACTCTTGAAATTTGGCTTGCCTGTTCTTTTCATCCTTCTATTCTAATACTTGATTATAAAATGTGTCTTTCGATGTTGTTCCAAAGCTGTTGAGCAAGACACAGAATTCTAATCATGTAAAACGTCAACCTGAAGCCGGGAACAAGAGAATATTTCCAAATGAGTGCTAGACAGTTTCATCCTCTAACCCAGATCTATGCCCCGATTCAGCAGGAAGTAGCTAGACGGGTCTTTGCCCCAAATTCCTCAAGAATGAGGAATGACCAAAGACTATGAGGGATTGAAATCGACAGAGAGTTAGCCATTGATGATTCAGTAGCTAAGAACTGAAGTTTTTTTCCTTTTTGCAATTACTGATTATAGTTTAGCTGTTTAACCCGCCCATTGTTAACTGTGCTGTTTGGGCAATATGCTGTCTGACTCCCACTAGGCTCCTATAGAGGACATCTCCCTGGAGCCTGGGTCACCATGGCAATGGGTGTTTTGAGCTATTTTTCAGGAATTAGAACCCCTTGTTCACTTCAAGCCAGTTGAGACCACTAACCAATCAACTGGGCCCACGCAGATGTCTGAGAGGTGACTTTTGATGTCAGGAGGCTAAAAACTCCACCCTCAGATCATGCTAATGCTGCCATTTTGTGAACACGCATCCTGTGAATAGATACGGAGTCTGACTACGCTTGCACAGATCATCAATTGCCTCACCTCTCCTCACTTCCAATCACCTCTCTCCACAGTTCAGACCACCTTGCCCCTCATCCCATAAATGTCCTTGAGTCCCCATTTTCAGGGAAGTTGAATTTGAGGCTCATGCTCTCACTTCCTCACGTGGCTACCTTGTGATTAAACCCTCTCTCTGCTGCAATCTCGTCGTCTCGCTGTTTGGCTTTCCGGGTGGTGGGCAAAATGAACCTGTTGCCAGAACACCCACAGGACACAATGGGCTTCCCATGGCATCAACTGAGGCTGCCGAGTGCCGGCGTCATAGCTTGACTCGTCCCTCTATCCAATCAGTCCTACTGCTCTCCCCTCCTCTCCATCCCCTGGGAGGATCTGACCCCAAAGGCTCTCCCTAAGGACATCCTGCACAAAAAAGGGACTCAGAGTCCACTTCCCAGAGAGCCCAACCTACAACTGGCCTGTGAAGAGGACATGCGCAGCTCTGACACTGGAGGCGCCATACCCTCAGCTCGTGGGGCCTCTTCTTGGCCAGGTCCACCCTCAGGTGGCTGCTCCTCAGGGAGGGTGGGTGTCCACAGGGCCAGCTCTGTGATTTTGGTAGCCTTCCATTTTGGAACAGCGGCTGCCAATGTCTCTTCCTCCTCTTCCTCTTCTCCTCTTTCCTATTTTAAGTTTAAAAATATAAATTTACCAACATGTGTGTAAACTTGGTGTGGGATATTTAAAGTGAGGGGAGAAGGGACAGGTTTTGAGCTGCGTCTGAGCATTTTTATAATACGATTCAGTGATCAGACCACTTGCCAACCATTCGTAGTATAATCTAAGGGTTGAAAGTAGATCTTGAAAGAACTCGGATGAGCAATCAAAGTACAATGCAACACTCCACCTGCACTCTGTCGACTGACGCCACAAAAGGCTTTCAACATGAAAGGCTTTCAGCTGTCACTTCCCAGCTGTCTGGAGCAGTAAAGGCCTAAATGCCCTTTTCAATTGCTCAGCCACATTTTCCAGCTCTAAGCGTCTTTATATATAATAAAACTAAGATCACGGTAAGAAAAGGCCTAGAAACATCCTCAGACAACCATAGAATGATACTGAAGAGCATAAACACTAAAGCTCTAATCTCAAGGATCGTTGAAGGAAAAGTAAAGTTCAGTCATGGCAGAGTGAGAGTTTATCGTTTCTAAATGCGGAATGTTTTATAATAATGGATAATTCCAACAATGGTGCACAGCCAACATATGTCAATCTTGCCAAGCGTATTCTAACTATCTCAGTTTTGTAACCATCACGAAATTCCAAGGATCTGAACATCAACCCTATAAATATGGAAAACTTCACTGTCATGTAGGTGATCATACCTACAACAACGAGTGACAGACACCTGCCTATTACTTCCATTGAGTCACTCAGAAATAAATAGTCCACTTGGCTTCAAAATTTCTGAGTTTTGCCTCCCATGAAGGGCAACACTTTTGCTCCAGGAAGTGGTGCCCAAATTTGAACAGCACCAGAAGCCCCTGCAGGGCTTGTTAACATACAGGTCCCCAGCCCCACCCCTAGAGTTCTGATTCAGCACATCGGGGGTGGGGCCCACTTATCTGCATCTCCAACAGATTCCCGGGGGATGCTGATGATGCAGGCCCAGGGACTACCCTTTGAGAACCACCCCTGGGAGGATCTGTCGTCTCCTGTAGGGGGATCCTCCCCCAGGATCAGGGCCTCAATCCTCCAGCTGCCGGGAGTGTTGGCAGCTGATTGCTCATAACAGAGTCCCTCGCAAGGAACTGCCCTCCAACAAAGGAAGCCACATAGTCCAGGCATCATGCCGTGTCCACGGGCAGCCTGCACCCCATGATGGGTCGAGAGAGGGTCAAAGGTCCTTGCCTCCATTTAGGAAACATTGAAAGGCCATCCTGCTGCAGAGCTCCCACGGGGTCCAGTGAACAGCTCAACTTTCTCTTCTGCCAAATCTGGTTTCCTTTACTCCCTTACAGCAACTGATGCCAACACACTCCCCAGGAAATCTTGCCTGCACATCTTAGAGTCTGGGAGTCTGTTTCCCCAGTGTTATAGGTTGAATTGTGTCCCCCAAAATGATATGTTGGAATCCTAACCTCCAATACACCTCAGAGTGTGACTTTACTTGGAGATAGACTCTTTACTGAGGTCATCAAGTTAAAATGAGGTCATTGGGGTGGACTCAAATCCAATATAACTGGTGTCCTTATAAAAAGGGGGAATTTGGACACACAGACATGCACAGAGGGAGACAATGTGAAAAGACACAGGGAGAAGACTGTGGGGTTGCACTTGGGGGAACCTGGGGGGAGCTCCCCTGGGGAAGTACCCTGGAGGGAGGGACCCTGGGGGTGTCCTGGTTGGGGGTGGGGTGGGGCGCCTGGGGGAGGTGTTCCGGGGGTATTGTACTATATTATCCACAGGCCTTGGTCAGGCAATAATGAAAGGAATACGAGTGCGGCCTCCCTCACCCCAACACATACACACACACACACAAACACACACACATACACACACACACACACACACATACACACACACATACACACACACACACACAGACACACACACACACACGTATATTTGGATGCCTAATAATGACAAACCTAGCTGGCTAATTTCCATATCAACCAGGGAATATTAATTTAGCATCATATTAACGTTAAGTATTGGCAAGGAACAAAAAGAGAAAATTATAAGCGGTGCGAGTCACACACCTGAAACACTGAGTTATTGGATGAATTTGGTGACACGGTGGTTACAGATTGCAGGGGTCGGTTCTGGGACCTAACACTGTCCGGAGCTCTCCAACTCAGAGTTAGCTGGTTCCTCTGGACAAAAACTAGGTCTGGATTTCAGCAATAACTGTGAAATGGGATCGTTTAGTTCTGGCTTTTATTTCTAGACCAACACATGCAAATGAAGGAAAATGAAAAAGTGAAAGTCCCCATGCATCGGTGTGACTTCTAGCCTTGTCGGATCTATAGGAACGACATCACCTACGAGTGTGGGAAACGTTACAGACTCTGCCACTTACCATATCTGTTAAGCGATATTCCCCATGCTGCTCACAGCCAACATCAAACACGTACTTTCCAGGGCCAGCGGGCTGCAAAGGGAATAGAAAGCAAGAGGTGCTACACTCTTAAGTGTCAACACCCCACAGAAAGTGCAAAATGCTTTGTAACGTCACCTCCATAGAACCTGCCCAAACCGTGTAATTGGGCAAAGTCCCACGTAGATTAAAGAATGCTTTTATGAACTAATGGCTGATGGAATTGCAAAGTAGAGGTCCTGTTCCGTTTGTTTTTAGAAACTTCAACTACGCTTTATCTCCTTATAAAAGCAATGTATTTATTACAAAACTTTCATTCAGTTGATAGCCACAGTCAAACTAGCCAGAGGTGGAACTAATAATATTTTGACTCTGTAACCTTGTTTCTAGCACACAGATTTTTCTTTATAAAAATCTGATTATAATTGTACATACTGACTCGTACTCTGCTTTTATTTAGAAGTATGCTGTGAACAACTTCCCACGTTCACAAATATTCTGCCACAGCACCAGCTGTCAACCTGGTGTTTCATTTCATCTATGAATTATAATCTGTTCTACCCATTTGTCAAATGTTGTTGACATTTGGTGTTCAGACATTTTTCTTTGACAAAGACTACTATAGGAAACATATTCTGAGTTACATCTTTATGTACACTCTTGATATTTTCCTTAGGGTAAGTTTTCGGAAGTAGAATTTCTGGATAAAAGTATTTACATATTTTTTTTTTTTTGACCAGAAGAAAGCTCTAATAATTTTCACTACCACAACAGCACTGAAAAGCCCCCTTATCCTTAAAACCTTGTGTTTTCTGGGCATTAAAACATTTTGTTCTATTTTTATACTTTTATAAATACGTAAAAAACCACCTCATCATTTTAAGTCGCCTCGCTAAAGTTGATAGTAAGGTTGAATTTTTGTCAAGATTTTGACCATTTAAATCATGCTGATTGACACAGGTGTTTTATATATTAAATGCTGCAAATATCCTAACCCCATTGGTTGGTCATTTATCACTTAAATTTTCTTTATAGCATTTTCTAAACTTTAAGGGACTATTTTTATCACACTAAATCTATTGTTTTTCCACTTTATGTGTCGGTTTAAAAGGTTCTCTTTCCTTGTTGCAAAGTTGGTAAACATTCACCTTTCTATCTGTGATTTTCTAGTTTACCTTTAAATCTCCATTTCTTCTAGAAAGTCTCTTCCTCTACACGTTGGAGGACAAATTCTGATTTTATTTTCCTCCCAAATGGTTACCATGCTGGCCCAGCCCCGTTTCTTGGCCTCTCCCCATCATTCTCCGCTGATTTGAGAGGCCCCCCCCTTCAAGTGCTAAATTATTTTGCACCTGGGATCTGCCTCTGACTTTCTAACCTGCTTCGTATATCTCCATCCCGCTATCACACTGCCGTAACAATCGAAGCTTTACAGCATGTTCCAATAACTTGTCAGCAAGGATGGGACCAGTAATTCTCTGAGGAAGAAAGTCAAACCAATAACAAGAGTGTGCAAAGATGCTGAACCTCACTAGGAATCAGGGAGATGCTCATGAAAACAATGAGAGAACATTTTTTGCCCATCAGATTTGCAAAAAATATTGAAAACTGATAATATCCAGTGTTGGATGAGAAAATGGGATAGAGACTCTCATATTCTGTGGGTGACAGTATGAACAGGCACAGTTTTGTAGGACAATTGGCAGTATCCATCATGATTTAAAATAGCAATACTGGGGCCAGCCCTGTGGCTGAGTGGTTAAAGTTCCTCACGCTTCACTTTGGCGGCCCGAGTTCACAGGTTCGGATCCCGGTTGCAGACCTACACCACTCATCAGCCATGTTGTGGCAGCAACCCACATACAAAGTAGAGGAAGATTGGCACAGACGTTAGCTCGGGGCTAATCTTCCTCACACACAAAAAAAAAAGGTGGGGGAAGATTGGCAACAGATGTTAGTTCAGGGCAAATCTTCCTTACAAAAAAAATTTATATATATATATATCTCAATACTTGTGGATTCAGCAATTCCAGTATCTAACCTATATAAATACTCTCAAGTGTGAAAAAAGATAATGTTCCTTTGTGTATATTTGTGTATTCTGATGTCATGTGATCCCATTTATGACACTAAAACCCTCACCCTATAATTCTATATAAGTTGTACAAGTGTGTGTTGTTGTATGTATAAGTGCATGTGATGCACAGAAAGTGGCATGGAAGGACACTCCTGCAGGGAGAAGAAGCAAGGGGAGGGGAGGGCTGGAGCATGAGGTAGGCAAGAGGACTCGTGTCTGAGTGTTCGCAGGTAGAATGTACTCACGATTACTTGTATAAGTTTAAGGTTCTCACTAGCCAGCAGAGTGAAGCATCCACTTTCGCTCTTCTCTTTCAGACTAGTCTAGCTCTCTGCATTCACTGATTCTTCCCCGTTAACTTTCGTCAAATTCTCTTTCCCTCCGCCCACCTCCTGAGATCAAAAAATACCCCATGGGAATTGAATACATGATGTATAGATTTGAGGAGAATGTGCTGTTTTAATGAAGACTAAAAGTAGACTCTGTAATTAGGGCGTGAATTATATGTAAATGAAAACCGAGCTTTAAGAGAGTCTGAGACGACTTCATTAAATCAGTTCAATGTTCCCTGTGGCAACTTCTAACGCCTTTAATTTGCTCAGCAAACTCCTTCTTCGGGGGAAGTTTCTGCTCGACCCCTGATCAAAGCTATAACAAACGTCAGGGTGGTCCGGTCAGAATTGTCCAGGGTTTGTCTGCATCCCTCTAGGGCTCGGACAAAAAGGGCAAGCCAAGCCACAGAGTCCTCCAAACAGAAATGACTTATTGCCGGCACCGAGAACTGGAAACCTGCAGACCCAAGACCTGGGGCTCTGCGCAGCCCTCCAACCCCACCACAACCTGGAGCTGGTGGGCTGGCTGCAGCACCAGGAAGCAGCTCGTGGGTCTCCATGCACCCACCACCACCCGCCGTTCCCCGCCCCAGGGGCTCCAGCCTTGCAGCTCCAGCAGAAAGAAACCCCAAACGCCCACATGCTCAACTGCAGGAAATATTCAGTCATTCCAGGCAAACAACCATTTCATATCAGATTTACCGTGAGAGGGAGCACATACAAGAGGTCAAGATGCACCCCCTCCCCCGCGTGTTATAATATGTGGCACATCAGTGCTGGAAGAGGGGAGATTTTACTGAGATGCAGAGAAACAGGCCAAGCCCCCCTCCTCACTATGCCCTCTGTGGCTATCAGAGAGGCTCAGAGAGGCACAGCTGCCTCATTTCCCATATTCAGGGGTCCGGGGACAGTGAGGAGGCGGTGGGAGAGTTTCCCTAAGTTTTTACTTAGTTTTTTGGCTCACACGGTTACATAGGCTGGGGGAGGAGGGTATTTCATTGGCAAATGTTGCTTCCCTTTGACTTACATTTTTGTTCAAGAACTTGCCCTGGTACCTGTGGTTCAGGTGAACAAGCTCAGCCGCACCCTCCTGCTGTCCGTTTACCCAGGTGCCGACATACTTACTGCCCGTCTCCGCGTAGAAATAGGTGCCTTGCCCATGCCTGGATAAGACAAGGAACACAATGCATCTTCCACCTGGTGAAAAGCTTCCAGGCTTATAAGACAGATATTTAAATTGAGAGCAGCCTAGGGTGACACAGGCTCACAAGCCGTTTGGCTTCTATATCTGTGCCCGATCAAAGGATGCTCCTGCTCTGTGCGCGCAGCCTGGGACGGGCACTGCCTACTGGATGACCTTCCTGTCTATCAGTTGGTTCACGCGGGGAAGAGGCAGCACTCCTGGGAGCTGTGGCTCCGGCATCCAGGAGGTTCTTCTGTGCCCTCCACACCCTGGGGCTCCTGGGTGAAGGACCCACGTGTTCTCCCCACTCGAGACTGCCCCTGCCCAGGAACGCATCATCCGGCTGCTCGCCGTAAAGCCGTGGAGGGTTTGAACGGCCTGGCAGGGTTGGTTAATGGGCTTTGCTCTGAGGCTGTTTCTCAATAAGATGTTGTCATGTTCTTGTTACAGGAATCCAGCTGTAGGAATGAAGAGAGAACCCGCACCTTTGATGAGCGAACCACTCTCCAGTGTAGGTGTCGTTATTGACGTAGTAGTACACGCCGTGGCCGTGCCTCTGGTCATCTGCCCACTCCCCTGGAAGGACGACACGAAAGCAGACTCGGATGAGAGGCAGGCGGTGATGCCCTTCACCACTGCCTCCTTCCACTCTGACTTCCCTCCCTCCCGCACCTCTCAGGCAGAGGGCGTGGAGTAGCGGAGCATTTGGGGAGCTGGCTGCGTCGAGGGTTCGCTGGGGACAGATCTTGGCAGGTGTATGTACGTGGGCCACAGTCGCCTGCATGTGCCGACAGCAGGTTTCACAGTTGGTGGGCGGCGCAGGAGAGCATTCAAACCAGGGTGTCTGCCCCATTGCCGGTGGTCCCACCACCACCCTCCGTTTGCCTTGCAAGTGTTTAGTGATCCAGCAACAATGTCAAGACTGGATGGCCTATCCCAGCCACTTGCTAGCATTTCCCTCCATTTCCCACCTTGCCACCTGGCTCCAACCTTTCCAGCCTAGTCTCCAGGGCGACTACATACGACACACCTGTGCACTACGTCCATGTGAGTGGACGCTGCGCCTTTGCCAACCCCCGGCCTCCTCACGTCAATGTCCCTGCCCTCTCACCTCCGGGCATTTTCCTGCTGATTTCCTGTGGACTTGATAGGAAATACTGAAACCAGCAAAGATTCCACCATGTTCACGACACACCTCTGCCATAAGGATGACAGCTAACAAGCTGGTGAATGTCGTCAATTCTTGAAGATTAACTCCTGCTCCAGGAAACTCAGAATGTCTTCAGATCTTACACCTCACATTTGAAAGACACTTAGCAGAGGTTTCTGAAGTGGACAACTACCCTAAAAATGAACATGGCATTGCCAATAACAAGTTATGCTGAATGACACTTTCCTAGACTATGAATAATTTAAAAAATGAATTTTGATCACTTTGTTGATCAAAGAGAAAAGATGGAATTTTCCGTTTTCTCTATAGAAAACGATGTTACAAAATTGTTGTCAAATAGAGAGATGTTCCATTATTAGCTAACGAAGATAGGGAAAAGGCATGTGGGAGGTGCGTAAGAGACGAAGTTGTAAAATTCACGTTATTTCCTCAGATTTTGTGATGCTTGTGGTATTTTTAAATTTTTCATTTATTTTGATTTCTCACTACAAATAAAAATTCACTTTTATACCAACATTATGTTCTTTTTTTAAAGAGGGATCCCAAACTTGTATAAGCTTCTGGTTTATACAAAAAACAGATCCAGTGCAGCATGAAGATGAAGAATACACAGCATGCTAAGAATAGGCTCATTATCCCAGAAATATGTGTTTACATGAACAAACCCCGAAGTCTATCTACAAAAGGGAACTTCTACGTATTTCCTCCCTCAATCCTACAAGGTCCTGAGCACTTGCGGAGACAGACAAGCAGCTGTACAGATAACGGAGCCGTCCTGGAGGAGCTTGCCCTCATCTCGGGGCGGGAGGCAGACGCACGCACATCAGCAGAGCTCAGCGTAAGGCAACAGAAAGAGCCGCACTGCATGCTTTCAGAGAGTGGATAGCCGTTTAGAAAAGGGCAGGTGTACTGAAGATGCACAAAAAGAAAGAGGTAGCAGTTGGTAGCAACTAAGAAAGAGGACTGTGGGGTTGGCCTGGTGGCGCAGCGGTTAAGTTCACACGTTCTGTTTCGGCGGGCCAGGGTTCACCGGCCTGGATCCCGGGTGCAGACCTATGCACCACTTGTGAAGCCATGCTGTGGCAGGCGCCCCACGTGTAAAGTGAAGGAAGATGGGCATGGATGTTAGCTCAGGGCCAGGCTTCCTCAGCAAAAAGAGGAGGATTGGCAGTGGATGTTAGCTCAGGGCTATTCTTCCTCAAAAGAAAGAAAGAAAGAAAGAGGACTGGCTTCCATGGTGTGATGTGTGACAGGGATGACATGAGCAAGAGAGACAGAGAATCCCCAAACTGAGATAATTCCTTCAAAGCAGGGGCTTGAACCTAAAGCAGCCATGAGGACATGCAGAGTATGCAGAAGTCTTGGAGGACTTGCCTGAATCTTTTTTTTTTTTTCCTTGAGGAAGATTGGCCCTGAGCTAACTACTGCCAATCCTCCTCTTTTTGCTGAGGGAGCCTGGCCCTGAGCTAACATCCATGCCCATCTTCCTCCACTTTATACGTGGGATGCCTACCACAGCATGGCTTTTGCCAAGCGGTGCCATGTCCGCAGCTGGGATCCGAACTGGCGAACCCCGGGCCGCAGAGAAGCAGAACGTGCAAACTTAACCGCTGCGCCACCGGGCCAGCCCAACTTGCCTGAATCTCAAGGGGCAGTGGTGTCCTGGTAACGTATCAGTTAAAACAACAGCAAAGAAGCAGCAGCCCTGACCTGTAGCATTTGCCAGTTTCTGTGGTATCAACATTTCCACCGTGGCCAATTTCAAGCTATGCGTGGAGTTGGGAAAAAGAAGTGCCCAGCTGGCTTTTGTGAGCTATCGTGAGCTGACTCCAGCCCAGCTGGGGGCCAAAGAGACCTCTGCTGAAACCCTTGCACCCTTTGGTTTCTTCCCAGCAGAAGACCATGATGGAAATATTGCATCCTCTTCTCTTGTCTCCAGGGTGGTGTGACAAGAAAAACATATTGGGTATTTTGCAGAAAACTTTAAAAAATGTAAGAGAAAAATTAAATTGCAAAAGACTCTAAATTTCAAGCCAGCGAAGATGAGTGAGCAAACTTTTTTAAAAGTCCAAGTTTACTTAACAAACAACTTGTTAAGAGACCCTGCCCACCAGATTATCGTCCGACCACAGTAGACGGTGCAGAACCGAGGAGGGCAGCTAAGCAAACAGACGCCTCCTGGAGCAGGTCTTCCACAGGCATGAGTCAGGTTTTCTTTTTTGAGATGAATGCCATTGAGAAACTTGATTGCTGTTGCTTTAAATTTCCACTTAACTTTTTAAGTCTTTCTACCCCTAATCCTATACTTTCTCATCATTCTTGATCTTGTCAACTCAAGTTTTTTTCAACCACATTTCTTTTCAGGAGAAACCCTTCGAGTTGGCTGGTTGGTTGGTGGTTTGGGGTTGGGTTTCCCTCGGGGAGAGCACTGTATCCGTTATAAACCTCTTTGTAGGCATCCACCCCTGCCCTCATCCCCATGGCTTCCAGGTCTGGCGATCTGGGGATTAAAGACCATTTGAAATAAAAAGCCTTCACAAAAAGCTTCTCTCCCCACATCTAAAATGCACTTTAGTCACTGGCTCCCTATGTGGGCCCCCAACCTGCTGAGTCAGCAAGACACCGAAGAGAGGGGAGCTAGCATTTGCGAGGAGCCGCTCTGTGCCAGATATCAGCTAGACTCTTTGCACTTCGTTTGGGATGTGTAATAATTGAAACACATTTTTACAGATGCAGGACCCGAAAACCAGAGAGATCATGCACTTTGCCCAAGGTCACACAGCAGGACTGATACAAAGATCCAGGTTTGTCTATTCCAACAACATGCTCTCTTCTCCACAAGCACCCCAATAGCCAAGAGCTCATTCTTCTTCCAGCTCCTGCCCCCTGAGAGCTTCTAGGAAAGTTAGCTTCAAGTCGTCAAATCATTTTATTTCTCCACAATTTCGTTATTAAACATCTTTGTTTTTCCTAGTTCTATTTGGCGGGCAACAGGAGCAGCATTGGATGGGGACGCTTCCTTCCTTTCCAGCCTCAGAGTACTCCTTGGCCCTCCATCCCCAGACTTTGAGCTCTACAGAGGTGGTTCCTCTCCAAAATCTGGCACCCACTCACCCCTCCGACCTCCTCCTTCACTCCCCTAAGCACCCTTGTTTCCCTGCCGTTGGCCAAGTAGCCACCGAGCCAGGAACGCCTCCCAGCTCCTCGCCTGTCCGAGCACTGCGGCCTCGGCCTGGCCTGGCTCAGCGTCTGGGAGACTTCAGGCCGAGGCTGAGCACACCGCCCTGCCTGAAACCACTCAGTGCCCCTCACGATGGCAGTCGGCCAATGCACAGCAACGAGGAACTCAGCCACGTGTGAACTCGGACTTGATGGCTGGAAGATTGTACACTTACTGAGCTAAAATTGATATTGCCGCTTCTGACCTCAAAGGAGAGACCTCTGAGGAGTGACCGCACCTGCGCCCTTTAAGATGCGAAACCACACGGAGGAACAAAAATTTCCAACATTTCCAGAGAAGTTTTAGACGTTAGCTAACCTTTGTATTAAACATTACTTCAATTCCTTATTTTGAGTATCTTTTTATATAAATATATATGTGTGTTGTTCAATTTGTATTAACATCTTCACTGAAATAAAAAATCACAACAATGAGATTACTTTCATAAGGATTTGGGAGGAATTAAATCAAGCCCTAAATTAAATTATTTAAGGTTGATTTAAAAAGCAGATGGTGCTTTTTCTGGAGCAAGCCTTCTAAGATCGATGAAATAAACAACAGAAATTCCATCTCTCTCAGGGCCGGCCCCGTGGCCGAGTGGTTAAGTTCACGCACTCCACTTCCACCGCCCAGGGTTTCGCCGGTTCAGCTCCTGGGCTCGGACCTAGGACCGATCATCAAGCCATGCTGAGGCAGCATCCCACATAGCACAGCCAGAAGGGCCTACAACTAGCATATGTAGCTATATACTAGGGGGACTTGGGGGAAAAGAAGAAGAAGAAGAAGAAAAGAAGATTGGCAACAGGTGTTAGCTCAGGACCAATCTTACAAAAAAGAAATTCCATCTCTAACAGGAAAGCATTAACACCCTCCACCTTGGTCTCAGATCCCACAGAAGCCTTCTAGAATAGCCCTTGGTTCTGGTTTTATGTGGCAACAAGACAGGCAGTTCCAGCTTGCACTCTGAGGATGCGTCCTCCTTACTAAGAAGCAATGTGATCACAAAGTGCATTGTCGCCCAACTGACACTTACTGAGTGCTTACCATTGGTCAGGCGTGGTTCTGAGTGTTTCATGTGTATTCATTCATTTAATCCTCACACTGCAGATGGGAAAGCTGAGGCAAGGAGCAGGGAGGTGCCCGAACAAGGTCACACCTATTGTCACCACAGTCCCAGGGTTGGGATCACAGATCTTTTTGGCAATCTAATCAAAATAGGTGACTTCCTAGAACATAGAATTTTGCACAGGGTCTGAAGGCTCACAACCCACTCCCTCCTTGCCTCTCTTCCCAGGTTCAGACACACCTTCACGCCTCATCAAGATTAGACTAACACTGTAGTCACACCAGGTGACAATGGTGTGTGGGGCAGCAGTGTGGTTCTTGGAAATAAGGGAACAAGGATCTTCCTGAGACATAAGATTGGCCTGTAAGGAACATGGCAGAGATAGGAACACCAGCCTAATGAGACAGAATGCCTCCCAGACCAGAAGCCCTCAGAGAAGGAACCATCAGGTCTAAAGAAACAGTGTGCTCATCGGAAGAGGGGTTGTCAGAAACAGAAATAAGTCCAAGGAGATGAAGCTAACAAGCGTCGAAAGTCATGGGGCCAACCAACTGCGCGAGGTCTGTGCTCGCCAGCTGCCTCCCTAGTGTTAGCTCCGCAGTACACGGGCTCACAGGAGAGAAAGTGCTGGTCACGGGAACAGTCATGTTTCCCACCCTGGATCAATTCACTGATTACAAGGCTTTCTGGTTTCTGGGCCAACCCTGTGAACATAGGAACACAATTTTTGTTTGTTGAATGACTGACTAACCTGGAGAACTTTACGCTTTCTCGTATATCTCAGTATACACAGACAAGTTCAATCCCAAAAGCCCTCTGCCACACAAGTCTGCTTCATGAGAACATTTTACCTTCATATCTTGATCCATCTGGATATATAAATGTGCCATGACCATGCTTTTTATTTTTGGCATATTCTCCGATGTAGCGAGCACCATTTTTAAATTTGTAGATCCCCTGAAACACATCGATTATATAATCCGTATCATTCCTGAATCTTGTACTTGCTAATAGAGTATTAAATAGGGAAAACCACTCCTTCAAGTCAGCGGCTCTGACCTGGCCGTGTCTTTTACCGTGCTCATAGTTCCCTTCATACGTGTCCCCGTTGGGCAGTCTCGCTTTCCCATGGCCATGCCGCTCACCTGCCTCATTCCGACTCCCTTCATATTCCTGGGCGAAAGAAATCAGAATTATTAGAGCTCCAACTTAGTAAGCGCTAACCACGTGTTAAGCACTGTGCAAACAGTATTCCATTGAATTCTCCCAATTCTTGGCCCTGTCTACAGATATGTAACCAGCCTGGAAGACAGGAGCGTTGATCCAAGGCCTTGAGACTGGTACCTGTCCACAGTGGGAGCCAGCCTCTTCCCCTCCAACATCTGAGCTTGCAATTTATTACAATAACCCTTTACGCTATAAACAAAATCAGCCAATTTGTGAAAAACATAAAGTACTCCAAATTGTGTTCTTTAGCAGAACATGTTTGAAACAGCATATGCAGGCGGAACAGGTCCTGAGGCACAAAAATATCTCCCCATTTGCTCCCTCCAGTAATCCAGGACTTAAATGCAAATGCCCTAAGAAAAGTAGCTCTTCCTTCAAACAAGGCCTGGGGAGCCTGTGGCCTGAAGACAGCTTTGGCCTTCCGGGAAGGGAAAGGATGGGAGGGAAAGGGGCAGGAGGAAGCTGGGGAGTAAATGGGGCTCCACTGTCACAAGAATCTCCTAACTCAACTTAGTTTATCTTAGTTTTACACTCCCTATTAAAAGACTGAAGGTTCAAACCTCATAGCCCATGTGGAAATAATTTTGTATCTATCTTCAAAGTAAATCAATAAAAGATGTAACACAAGCTTGAAATTTACCTATTTTTCCCTATCCTTCATAAAATAAGCATTCCTCAAGCGCCTCGTACCTGAGTGTAGAGTGCACATCATAAATAACAGCCAAGGCACAGAGCAACGATGGATGGAGTTGGATCCGTAGAGAATTATTACAAGACAGGTTCAGACACGGAAAGTTGAGGACTTCAGAAACAAACATTTGTGCAGTTCTTGTCATTTCCTAGCACTGCTTGGTTCAGAAATTCTTGACCAGGATATAAGGTAAAAGTCTGTGACCTTACAGATTTGTTTCAGGGTTAGTCTAAATCAAAATGTACCAGAGGCCCCTCCTCCTGCCCCAAAGAGCCTTCCAGTACGCCCAACCCTGAGCCGCTGGGGTGGCTGAGCAGGAGGGCAGTCCTTTAAAGTGATCTCAACTGTGATTTGAAGCTGAAAATTATGGGCACTGAAAAGTTGCAAATCAGTAGGGCCATTGGAGGAGATAAACTAGAAAGCTTACTGAGTGGGTTTGGCAGTTTGGGTTCCCTCAGAAGCAGATTCTGAGCAAGTGATTTTTTAAAAAAACAAAAAGTGCTCCCCAGAGAAACCAGTAAAGGGTGTGGAGAAACAGATATGAAAGAAGAGGCTGCCAAGTATGGCTGATGTCAGGTGATATCCCAGACTCAGCCTCATCCACAGGGGACCCTGGAGCATAAACCGCTCCAATTTGTCCTGCTTTTTAGCACTAGCTTCTGGCTGTCGAGGGGCACATGGATCCCACGCACTTCTGGCTCTCCCTACCAGCCAGGTGGCTCCAGTGTGTGGAGGTGCTAGTCTTGAACAGCAAATCAGGCAGAAGCTGGGAGCTGGATGTGCAGAGTTAGCAAAAAGTTCTGAGCAGGCACTGACAGCATCTATCACAGCACAGGTACTAATTTTTCAGTTAATTCTGAAACCATCTCAACTCTGTACCCTGCACACACACAGTAGTTGAGGCTCCCAACCTGTCAGCCAGAAAACGGTTACCCTCTGGCTTAGAGAGGCTAATCTCTGGGCAGTACAAATATGCCCACACAGAGCCCAGTTCACATCACTGGATGTGCATCTCTTACGACCTACGTCAGTTCCGACAAGGGTGAAGAAAGCACATATGGGTTGTGGGTCTATATGGTAATATCTTCAGGAAGACTTCGCTGAGCCTGAGACCTCCTCAGCATTTCTTGAAGGCTGCCAGGAAGGAGCTTTCCTACCCGGCCATCCAAGAAAACTGACTGGATGGAGGGTAACAGCAGGGAAGAGGGCGCTTCCAAAGCCTTGACTTAGAAATCTTTGCCTTTAATGGGAGGCGGGATGGAGTGGGAGGAGAGAGAGAAGGGATGTGGCAAGCTGACGTCACAAGGTTTCACTTTTCAGCACCAACTTCCAGGAGGCAGCGCCCGCTGTGGCCGGCTTGATCCTAATCCCTGGCCGGTCTGCCGGAGGGGACTGTGGCTGGCCTCCAGGCCTCCCCACTCTCGGAACCCGGCTGCGGGGGTCCGCTCGCCACCGCGCACCGCAGAAGCCCCTCCCTCACCCGAAGCTCTCACCCCAATATCATTCTCTCCCTCCTCCTCCAACTCCTCCGAGCCCAGGTCTGACATGGCCTTGCCCCAGTCTCGGTCCCCGCCGCCGCAGGCCCCTCTCTAGTCGGTAGGTACCAGCCACCCGCACAGCCGCGTCCGCCGTCACCATGGAGACGAGGCCAGGCCCGCCTCCCTCCCGGCGCCGGCTGAGGGGAGGGAAGGGGCGGAGAGGAGTCTGGCAGCCGGGATGCTGTTATGGCAACGGGACGGATCGGCCAATCGCCGCTGGGGAAAAAAGAGTGGGTGTGGCCTGGAGCGGGAAGGGGCGGGGCAGAGGGCGCGGAGTGGAGCCAATGGCAGCCAGAAGATATTGTCATAGCAACGGGAAGGGGCGTCTCGACCAATCGCCGCCTGAGAAGAGGGAGGGGGCGGGGCCTGGGGCGGAGAAGTACCCACCAGCTCTCTAACCTGGACGCCACGTGGCTGGTCCCTGGAATCCCTTTAGTTGGCTGCCGGGTGATGCTGCAACGAGAAGCCACCTTTGGAACAGGGCCCTAAAGAGGAGGGGCACAGGAGGCGTGTCGGGCCAGCTCTTAGAGTTTCAACCCTGCCCGGTGCTGGGCACTACCCCTTCCGACCCCGCCCCTCAGCTTTTCGGGTTTTTCCGGAAGCCCTGTCTGCTCCTCCTCACCTTTCTGGGGCTCTTCCGACCCTTCGGTTTTGGCAGACACCGAGACGTGTCCGCTGAGATCTTTTCTCGCGTTTGTAAACATCTCCTCCTGACTCAAACAGTCAGCTCTGACCTCTTAGCAGATGCGTGTCCACACCGATGCCCGTCAGGGTTTGACATCCCTCCTCAACCCCAAACGTGAGTCCAGCCCCCTCTGGGGTCCCATACGGAGATCTGCTCCCTCACACACTCCCACCCAGTCACATGTGCGCGCACACACACATGAACATCCGCACTCATTCCCGCTCGCTAATGGGCCCCTCCTCCTGGCTTCCCTCCAGTCACCTGACACTTCGCCTGCCCTGGGCCCCTCCTGATCTCCTTCCCATTTCCTCTGTCATCACCCCAGATTCAGGCCTTCCTACTGCCCCAGTAAGCTCTGGCCAACAGCCTCCAATCAGGGCATACCTTTCCCCCACAATAAAGCTTTCTCACTCCTGATTGGAGGCTATTGGCCTGGGAGTGCTGTAGGTGGGCTAATGAGAAGCCGGGCATCCTATGTGATTGGGCAAGAGCAAATTCAGCTTTCTCTGGTTGGCCCTAAGTTGGAAGTAGGGACAAAAATTAGTAAAACTCTGTTTTTAATCAAGTCCTGGCCATTTGGGGTCAACTGTTACAGGGGTTATTGTTTGTTCCTGAATCAGTTGGTAGAGACAGCACACCAACTTCCTACAAGTCTGACTTACAGCCAGCTGGCTTCCTGGGATGGCTACTCTGCATAATGGGTTGGCTTCCTGGGCTGGTTGCTGCAGGCTGTGGGTCAAAGTTCTATTTTCATATATGGTTTGGCCATTGTACATTTGTATAACCAATTTCTAGTGTGTTTTTGCAAATTATAGAAATAACTGTGTTTCATCTCAAATCTAAATATGGTATGGTGCTCTTAGTTTCTTTTGAGATTTAATACCTTCAACAGAAATAATATCAATCATTTTATTTCTTCAAATCTAATATCTAAGTATCCAAAAAACTTGATCTAAATGGAGGCAAAACAGGTCTTAAAGTCATCATTGTTCAGTGGAAACGTTACTCATCCAAAGTCAGAATGCCCAAGTTCTAATTCGGGGTTCCCATGGCTTATTAGCTTGGTGACCTCAGGCAACTCCCCTGCCCTCTGAGCCTCAGGTTCCTATTCTGTTAACTAGGGAGAAGAAACCCTTTCAGTCTCGAAGGGCTGCCATGGGGATCAAGGATGCTACTTTATTAGTGTATTGTTATCTATTATGATAGCTTCATAATGTTAACAATGAAGATATTACAGAAATATCACATATCATTAATAGAAAGTGCCCCTCACACCCACAGCAAGGGGTGTTGTTTGTTGTTGCTGGAGGGGCAGGGAGGTGGGAGGACTGGTAAACACAGAGTTTGATCTTGCTGGCAGCCTTGAGGTGAATAATCCACAGATGTTCAGGAGCATACATACCCTGTAGACCTTTCTCTCAGAAATAATGACATAATAGCAGGTTGCAATCCTAACCAGCCTTAACCAAATCTCATCACAGGCCCAAACACATCACTTACTGGAAAAAGGAACAATTTGCAAGCAAATTAACACACAAGACACTACAATTGTATTGTTTCTAGATGCAAAGATGAAAAGATTATAAACACCAAAATTTAACAGTTTTTGTTGTGAGGAAAGTAAGGGAATTGGAATAATAGATGATCATTATTTTTTATACTTAGCAGTTGCCAGATTTACTACAACTGAGCGTGTCTTTCTATAATAAAATGTCAAAAACAGTTTAAATGTTAGAAGTCTGGGATGGCAAACAAGCATATGCAAGCGAACATTAGCTCTTTGCATATAAACATAAACGACGGAAACTCAACCTCCACATCTGCTCTAACAATGACGGTAACGAAGGTTTGCTAAATCCTGACTCTGCGTTGGCAGTATTTTAAGGGTTTTACATGAATGATCTTATTAAATCCCAGCCATCATTTTCCCATGGTACAGCTCAGGAAAGGCAGCCACAGAGAGGTGAAGCCATTGGTCCAGATCCTACAGCCAGCGGAATTCAAACCAAGCCATCCGACTCAAGAGCTATTGTTGTTGATGAATATACTCCACTACCTCCCATATCTCTAATTTAAAGGAATAACCGTGGTCTTCTGAGACTGACCTGAAACCATCTACCAAGCAGAGAACCACTGGCCCAAAGAGCCTTAGACTGAACAAACCAAAAAAGCGGCTTCAGCAAACCCTGTCCCAGATCACATCATTAGCAGCTGGGTGCCCAGCTGTTGCACTATTGTACCCTAAAATTTACAAGACAGAGTGCCTCATCCACTCTCGCCCTGTGAGAGACCTGGGGAGTCCCAGGAAGACTTCATCGGGCCAAGCTGATACTGGCAGCCCCAGACTCCCTGGCCCCTACCCACTAGGTGACCCGGAAGTGCTTGGTGATTACAGAAGCAGCATTTTCAAACTCCAAAGGCCCTCAAAACGCTGGCTTAGCTCCTCTTCACCAGAAAAAGGGAGGAAATCCTCTTCTACCTCTTAGTCCTGTCAGGAAGACACTTCCCAGAATCCACCAGCAGGGACTTCCCATAATCCACGGGCCGGGGTCGCCCTATGACCCCCCAGCCAGCCCTTCCCATCATCCACCGGGAGGGGTTTCCCATCATCCTCCAGGACGCACTATCCATCATCCACCACAGAGGTCTTCCCGTCACCCACCAGGAGGAGCTTCCCATCACCCCCCGGGAGCGATTTCCCATCATCCCCCAGCAGGGACCTCGCGCAGACGCAGTGCTTCGCAGAGCAGGGAGGGCCGAGGCTGCAGGGCCTCGGTGGTTGGAGAGAGTGAGGGCCCACCGTTCCTCCGAGCTCCATCTCCCCAGTGAGAAATTCTCTTCTTGCCTTTCTTAAATATAAATGAGAAAAACTCACCTCTCTCCACTACCTCTTCCCCCAGCCCCCAAAAAAAGGAATGACTGCACAACTCCGGGTCCCTGGCTGGGCGCGGTTCGCGTGCGCAGAGGGGCGGTGAGGGCGCCTTCTTCTCCGAGATACGGTGCCCAGGGGCATGGAGGTGTCTCCGAATCCCTCCTGCAGGTCCGCCTGCGCCCCTTGTCTACCCACCGCTGGGCTGAGGGCCGGGTCAGCCTGGCAGTTGCCATGGCGACCGTCTGAGTGCCCGCCTGTCCCTTCTGAACTATCCAGGACAAGGCAGGGAAAAGGCCTTAAGACCTGATGGGCATCGGGAAAACGCAAACAGGGTTCCTGTTTTTTAAGTTTGTAGCAGCTGCTCAGATAAAAGCAGGGACTTCCAACAAAATGAATTCCTGCCCCTCCTAACTTTGGAAATGTGAGGCTGTTTATTACAACACTTGTATTCTTGCAAATTGAACCATCGTGTATCTGCACACATATAAACATGCACGTGTAGATGTAGGTGTATGTGTAGATAGATATAAGAAATACAGGAATTGCAACTTCTTTTTTAGAAGTAGAGTTTTTATGACGTTTAGTGGGTAGGAGTCAGACCCAGAGCTGCACTCCTAGCCCTATTTACTTCTTTCTGAAGTCGATTTAGCCATCTGTAAAATGGAGGTCACAGTTAACTGCCCTCTCAGAGCGGTTGTGAGGTCTAAAGCAGATGTTTTTCAGGAGCTTAGCACAGCGCCCAGCACACAATAAAGCCCTGGGTAAATGGTGGCCAGAATTGTGAATAGTCACGCTGTTGTTACTCATACAGTAAGCTGAGCACTTTTTTTCTATCAATAGGTCTTTGGGGAAGATTCGATTCCAGTTTACCTTAATCCTTTTCCATCGTTGTTTCTTCCTGAAGAGGATCCAACTGCCCATCAGGGTTTGTCCAGGTAATTGTGGCAATCAGAAGTTAGTCTGTGATGAGCAGATCATGTTTAATGCTTATATTCCTTAGCACTAAAGTACATGAGGGTGGGAAGAGACTAGAAGATGGGGAGGTTTCTAGAAATATATAGACATGTAGATTCTTAAGTGTAAGTAGTATTTTAACTGTTTGAGGTCATGACTCTTATGAAAATGGCAACCAACAAGGAGGAAATAACCAGATACACACACACACCTACCTGAGGTATGTATGCGGTTGAATGGAAGGATACTGAGAATGCTGTCGTCAAAGAGGAATGCGAATTCTTTTCCACCCAGGAAGTGGGGTTATTCAGTAATGCCTCAGGACTCGAGTCAGCCAGGGTGGAGACGAGAGGTCAGGAAATTGGGCAGACTCGCTCGGCAC